AAATCTTGACGCTGGAACCTGCTTGGTTGCCGAATTGAAATACCCGGACAGACGAACATACACACACACTCACATATGAAAGTAGTCGCAATATGCGTTTTTGCAATGTGCATATAGGCATATCATTCACAACCCGCTTGAAGTCATGAATGATTCCAAGCGGGTTGTGTTTGTTTTGAGTCATAGATCTCATGCGAGAACATAGATTTTGCTTCAAAAATTCAATCCCGCAATTCTTGGTTCACAAATTACGAATTCCCTTTGGACACAAACTTGGGATCAGAGATCTTGAAATACAGGGCTTTAATATTGATCTCATGTTTTTAGCTTAGTGAGTTGTTCATGTTTCCAAAATTTTACTGTCACAGTCCTTGTAATTCTTTTTTTTTTTTTTTTATCAAAACTAGTCAGAGAAAGGCATGAACAAAGAATCAGAAGCACATACTCAAACTGCAATGAATTTGACACAGCATGTCTTTGTTGCATTAATAAGACTGTTTCACTGAAACATAAATAGTATACGTTTATTTAATTCATACCGGTAGAAGCAGGAGAACTAACAAAACCATACGTGAAATATAGCCTCATGTACAGCTGTGCAGTCGACTAAAATTACAAATGTAACAGTTGAACGATGATTTCAAATGGCTGTTTATCTGCATTACCACATTTCTGGACTTTCAACAAAAGCACTGGAATGTTTTGCACAGGCAGTAGAATATGGATGCCTCTACCGGGAGATACAAATCAAATAAAACAAGTATTTTATATAGGACTGGGAGAAAACAGAGCTTCTCACGCGATATGCAGACTTATGCCATACGCAAACACCATCAAAAGGCACTTAAGAAAAGTAAGAAACGCATCGGTGAGACAACAGCTTGCTTTGACTTATGATACTGCATTTTCTATTCTGTTAATTTTTGCCATTTTACGATTAACGTAAACAGCCATTCGATCATCTTCAAGCACATGTCGTTCTCTAGTTAACTGTAGGTGCACAGGAGGATCGCTGTTAGGCAGAGCTATTTGAGCTGAAATTTCATCTGTAAATTTGGGGTGCTGTTATAATTCCAAAATAAAGAAATATATGAAACCATGTTTTCATGACTTACGTAAAGTTTCATCACACATAAAATGCAGGCACAAGCCTTATGTGTTATCACATAATTCATTGTGCAGCAGAAAAAATGCGTGACTGTGTCACCGTTATGCTGCACATCGCTACTGACAGTGAAGATAATAAACACCCACAAGATGGTGGTAAACACAGAATCAGTGACAGGCAAAGTCTTCTGGTGAGTGATGGAATTACATAAGTACTACTGTAATCATTTGTTGCTTTCCGTGTATTGTTTAAAGGGCACTCCGAGTAATTCTTAACACTGATGCCATAGCAGCAGTTGGCTGAGGGCAAAACTAAGTTTGTAATTTTGAGTTTGCGGGTTGCTGAAAAGCAAGCTCTTTACAAGCAGAACAGCGAAAAGTCTGCGAAGGGAGCAGCATGGCATCCAGTTCATCCGTTAAATTTTGTAACATACTGCCAATGTCGCTAAGCACATCGCCATTGCTCGCCATCAGTGAGTAACTGAAATAACATCAAAATAATTTTTATTCACAAACGTACATGACAATCAGGGATCCCAAAACACTTGGCGAACGAGTAG